TAATCTAAGAAATTACAATTTTAAGAACAGCGGTTCGTGTTCTGTGTGCACAGCGTCTGCTTCACCTGCTCCTCACTCTTCAAACCTCGCTCTTCAAGCTTTGTCAGCTGGTGCCCCTGGCATGGCTCTGGCCGAGGACACCAGCAACCTTCCCACAGCTAACCCCCTGCGCCCTCCTCTCTGCTGGCCTCCTGGCCGCACTTGACTCTGCTGTTTACCCCCTCCTTCCTGAAACCTTTTCCTCCCTCCAGCTTCGAGCACGTGCCCATTACTTCCTCCCTTTCTGCTGTCTGTCCTCTCTCAGGCTCCCTTTGGAGACAGGCCACCCGTAAAGGGTCTGCCATCCACACACTGATGAACTCCAAATCTGTACAGACCTTCCCTCTTTCTCTACCTAAGCCCCATTCATCTCTCAGGTCCCAGCTTAGGCTCCACTTATGGGAAGCACCCTAAGACCCCTGAGATCTGTTATGTGCCCCTCCTGCGGACTGCCGCTGGGCCTACGCGGTACCTCTCCATCACTGTATTTACACCACACTATTTTCGCTTGTTAACTTATCTACTATACTGTCAGTTCCTTCTCTATCTTGTTCAGCACAGCACCTGACAGCACTCAGATGGATGTTAGATGGATGAATTATTAATCCATTCATCACCACAGCACAGTAGCTACCTCCTAACAGGTGTTTAGATGTTCGAGCTAATGAATCCTCTGCCATTTCCAAATAAATCCAATCGCCCTATTTCCGTGATGAAATTACAGAAAGTGCACTTTTCTTGAGATGAAAAACTTCATTAGTCCAGGTTTACTGTCTCCGCTAAAAGAACCAAAAACCAGTACTTTAACAAGTAATCATAAATCTCCCAAGTTTATAAACATTACCTTGCACAATGTCAATGCTTATCCCAATCATTTAATTACTCTCCTAAAACTCTACCACAGTTTTGGTGAAGAATTTTCTCCCAATATCCTCGTTTTTCCAGCTTAATGCCATCAGAGGCAATTCTCCTGGGATGCAGTGGAATCGCTGAAGCTGACGGCGGGCAACCAGACTGAAGCTAGATGGTGGATATGCATTCATGTGGTCATCACATGTCATAGGCAGTTACCACTGCCAGGCCCCGTTCAGGTAGATACATCGCGTCCACCGTCCCTCAGAGCCTGTTAGTAGGAAGAGACAGTCACTCAACACACAGGGCAATTCCAGCTGTGGTGAGTACAAGGAAAGAAAGGGTGACGTGATCGAGTAACGGGCTGGTGGAGGGCTACCTTAAGGTGTTTGGGGAAGGTGACTTTGAGAACGGAAGAATGAGGGAGCTAGCTTGTGAGGAACAAGGATGGAGGAGGACGTAAGGCTAGGTATGGCAGGAAGGAACAGCCAAGTGCAAAGGCCTCGGTGAAGTGCTAGTCCTGCTAAGTGTAAATAAGCCAGAGGTCAAATAATACAAAGGTACATTTACAAAAGAGTTTTTAAAATCAACACCTTACTTTTAGCATGACTTCCCTGATGTTTCTATGCAAAAAAAACAAACACAAAACAAAACAAAAACAAAAAAACTCCAAAAAACCTACTAGCATTCAGGAGGAAAAAGGGGATATTGTATATATAACCTATGAGTAAATGAAGAGCAGATTACAGGAATCAAGCACCACTAAAACCAGAACAGAAGATGTAGGATACATCACATCAGCTCCCCTGATCCTTCCTGGGCCCAGGGTAGAAATTATTAATCTCCCAGCAGAGTTTGTACGTGGCCTCTGTCCTTCTCAGCAATGCCCTCCTGGCAGTTCCCGCTTGCCCTCTCTGTCCTGAAAGCTCAATCATCAAAACGGATGAAATTTTTTAAAAATTTCTTTTTCACGGTCCTTCTTTGGTAAGTATTACGTATCTTCCTGGTTTCAAAAAGATTACCCTGAAAGTGTACTCATTAAAAAAAAGTCTCTCCTTAATGACGCTGGGTCCTCATCATAACCATGATTATTTCATAAAGTAAAAGACACTGAATATTGAGTTCCTAGGCCTCAGCTTCCAAACATGAAAAATGACAGGCTTAGACTAGATGACCTGCGACTCCCTTCGGGCCTATTTCAAGAATTTAAGTTAAATATTTTACATCGGCAGGTTCTTGTACATCGACCACCCAGGAGTCACCGCGTAAGAAGCAAGCCCTTCCCCTGCCGCTCTCGGCCATCTGCCGGGCAGCCACAAAGCAGCCACCACACGTGAGCGCATCTCCGTCCACGCTGGCCTGTCTGGGGCCCAGATTGTTCCCTGGAACATGGCGTCCAGCGCGACGGTCAGACACCAAGCGACAAAACCACGGGGGGAGGAGCGGATGCCTTCAACGCCGTCTTCAGGGAGATGGGGGCTGGCAGGCATGTGCCGGGGGCAGTGTTTGTAGACCTGGAACCCACGGTCATCGATGAAGTGGCGCTGGTGCCCACCACCAGCTCCTCCCAGGCAAGGAAGATGCTGCCAGGAACTGCCCGAGGGCACCACACCATCAGCAAGGAGATCACTGACCTTGTCTTGGGCCAAATTTGGAAACTGGCCGACCAGTGCACAGGTTTTCAGGGCTTCTTGGTTTTCCACAGCTCTGGAGGGGAACTGGGTCTGGTCTCACCTCCCTGCTGATGGAACGTCTCTCCGTCAATTATGGCGAGAAGTCCACGCTGGAGTTCTCCATTTACCCTCGCCCGGGTTTACATAGCTGTAGGTGAGCCCTACTCCATCCTCATGACCCACACCATCCTGGAGCGCTCTGCTTGTGCCTCATGGTGGACAACGAGGCCATACTGAACACCGAACCTACGCTAACCTGAACAGGTTGAAAGTTGGCAGAATTACCAGCCTCCCACTGGGGTACCTGTTGTGAAGACCAATCACATAGGCCACACGGGCTACCTGAACACTGTAACTGTCTCTCCAGATGGATCCCTCTGTGCTTCTGGAGGGAAGGATGGCCAAGCCATGCTGTGGGATCTCAACAAAGGCAAGCACCTTCATACACTTGATGGTGGGGACATCATCAATGCCCTGTGTTTCAGTCCTAACCGATACTGGCTCCGTGCTGCCACGGGCCCCAGCATCAAGATCTGGGACTTGGAAGACAAGATCATTATAGATGAACTAAAGCAAGAAGTTATCAGTACCAGCAGCAAGGCAGAGCCACCCCAGTGTACCTCTCTGGCCTGGTCTGCTGATGGTCAGACTCTGTTTGCCGGCTACACAGACAACCTGGTGTGTGTGTGGCAGGTGACCATCAGCACCCGCTAGAATATGGCAGAGCTCTAGGAATAAAACATTGGTTTTCTGACTTAAAAAAAAAAAAAAAAGTACAGCGAGCTATGAGCGTGCTGAGCATGGTCATCGCTGACGCCCGGGCTCACCTGGACCACAAGTTTGTTATACGCCATGCGTGCCTCTGTTCACTGGTATGTGGGTGAGGGCATCGAGGAAGGAGAGTTTCCTGCGGCCCGTGAGGACATGGCTGACCAGGAGGATTATGAGGAGGTTGGTGTGGATTCTGTTGAAGGGGACGGTGAAGAAGGAGAGGAATACTAATCTCTGATCTGTGCTCTGAAGTTAATTTGTACGTAGCAGTGCATATATTCTCATATACAATTACTGACCTATGCTTTAAAACACAACTTTATTACAGACCCAGGCTGTCCATTTCTCTGAAGGGTCTGAATGGAGTATCCCCTGTCTTAAATGGAAAAAAAAAAATCTTTATATTAAAGTATTTCAAGAACACTACTATACTTAAGTGAAATACACAGATCTTTAAAATTAAACTACTCAAAATGATGCCTTTCCTTCAATATCCATACACACACACTGGGTTACATGAGGAATGCCTGCTCTAAACTGCTACTTGGATGAAGAGCAGTACTCTAAACCATGACTTATTTTTTTTTTAAAAGATTTTATTTATTTGAGAGAGAGAGAGCATAAGAGGCGAGAGGGTCAGAGGGAGAAGCAGACTCCCTGCTGAGCCAGGAGCCCGACACGGGACTCGACCCTGGGACTCCGGGATCATGACCTGAGCCGAAGGCAGTTCTTAACCAACTGAGCCACCCAGGTGCCCCAATCATGACTTTTTAACAGTGGTTCCTCTTTTGGACAATTTCTCTTCTAGATTTCTATAGCTAACAGCAAACCACAAAACTAGAGCTGGTTTTTACTGTATTACAAGTCTAAGGTAGTAAAATAAGACTGCCAATGCTAGCAAAATAAAGCACAATGCAAAGAGCTAACTTAAAGTCTCTCATGCCAAAAACAGAAGAATGAATCATACATGATCAAATGAAGAAATTTAGGCTACAAAGCAAGCAAGAAACAGAAAAAGTTTAGAAATAAGGGACTCATAACATCTGAAGATCGAGAAGACAGGAAAGCTCCATGGCCAGGTCCCAACAAGGCACCTTCTACGAGACACGAAATATACCTCTGACCAGATTTCTGCCAGCTTCTTCTTCTTCCCCTTCCAGCTGGTCCTTCCTGCAAATCAATAACATGACCAAGAGGGAAAACCAAGTGGATGAGGAAAAGTGCAGTTGGACTAGCATCCCCGGGACTGAGGCACTCGACACATGTCCTTACTTAATTTTCAAAAGAGCCCTATGGTAGCAGCTGACTCAGCTTTGCAGGAAAAACAGCAACTCACACCAGTTACACACACTAAGTACCTGGCCCTCAGGTCAAATGACCGGTAAGTGGAAGAAGTGGCATCTAACCCGGATCTCTGCCCTGCACCCTCCGTGATATCGGAGCCCCGGACTGATCTTCCTGCCGCAACCCTCCCTCTCACACAGCCATCTCTGCAGGCTGCGGCAAAGCTCCCTTGATAAAACACGCATCAGTCACATATCAAAAACTTATCATACCCCATCACCTAAGATCAAGTTCAAATTCATTCCCTGACATTCAAGGTCCTCCATAATCTAAAAATCTGGCCTATCTCCCATTCCATAATACCACCCCCCCTCTGGCCCCCATTACTCTTTCTCACCCAGTAAGACACCATTAGGATCAACGACATTCATGCCCTCTTCTTCCCTCTTTACTGGACCACCCCCCTCCCCATTTTGTTAAGGTTTTCATCCCTCCCTCTTGTGAGTCAGGTGAGGTACCCCATATCTACCCTAGGGAGTGATCTAGCCTAGGCCAGGGTTTCCCAGTGATGATACAATTCGTATTTGGGCAAGGGGAGGACGATTCTTCATACTCTTTGAGACCTTTCTGCACACCAGAAGTTAAACATGCCTGCATAATTACAGATGAGGAACCCTAGCCCAGAGTGATTAATGGGCCTGTGGTCAAAGAGCAAGAAAGCGTGAAGCCAGGATCTCCACCCAGGGCTGTGAGATGCAACGCCTGGCCTCTCTAGCACCCCCAGGGGCTCCTGGCTCCTACTCAGAAAATCATCTGAGTATCTACTACTAATCACTCCAAAAGAATATGAAAAGGAGAAAGGAAGAGCCATTGTCCTCCAAGGCTAATGGGAGATACAGTGTGATCAAGAGAACAGACTAGTAAAACAGAGGCGGCACAGTGGGCAGGGAGGGCGGTGCTAGCCGGGAGGGCCCAAAGCAGAGGAAGCAGGGGAGAGGGTGTTCTGAGCTTCAGTGAGGTGGTCTGTATGTTTCATTTCCATATTGAGTATGGTCTTGTACAGCTGTTTGTTTTTTTACAACACTAAAACCATGAGGTCCTCAAGACAGAGACTGACTTTACTTTTTTTTATACCCTCTAAGGTAAGCCTAGTTGCTTAAAGTTGCAAATTCTAGTACGCAAAGAACATAGGCTAAACTGAAATGCCGAGAAAGATTATGTGCCATCACCACCAGGAGAACATTTTTTTTTCCCATAGGATTAAGTCCACCCTTACTTCTAGGGTAGAAGGAAAGACTACTGCAGAAACTGTAACTATCAAGTTCCCCATACTTGTAAGATCTCTAAATTTAAAGAGCTATACCATTCTTGTTTGTAAAACAGGAAAAAAAAATGGTACTGCATTACTTTAGTAAACTACATTCTATTGTTTTTCAGATAATTGCCTAAAACCCATTTTCATTGAAAATGTCACAAAAGCACTTCTGATCATTGTCTAAATCATGATCTGGCCCTACTGAGACAGGGATTTACTCAAGGCAGCTGGTCAAGGTACGAGAGTAAGGAACAAACACTGAATTCAGCATGTCCCATCAATTCTCCTCAAAGCCCACAGGTCCAGGAGAACCACAGTCCAAGCTAAGCAATCAACAATGAGAGGGTCATGCAGCCTGTACCCCCTAGGATTACCTTCCCAGATTCGCCCATGCGCTCTGTGCTCTGTGCAAAACATGCTGAAAGTGAAGAATGAAAATACCATCTTATTTTAAGAATACATAAATATATATTTACCAATCCTGTGATAGAAAGCCAAGGTCTGATTGGAGTTTAACCAACTACAGGTATCACTTGGAGGTCACATCTGATGTAATAAATGACTATATAATCCCATTTTCCCCTAATCCTAAGCATCGGCCCATTGCTGGCACCACCTGAACTGCACAGAAAGGCTTTAGAAGGGCCTTGTCTGCAAGGATTCTGTTAAGGGCAGTGAGTCGACAAGAGGAAAGCAATACATATATTCTAAAACCTGTGGTATGTGAGCTGTACACACACCACCTATGGCCAAATTTGCTTTAAATTAACACTGGCAGATTCATACAAATGCCAATCGATAATCATTTTAACCTTCACCTAAGCATCTAGTTAACTAGATGGCAGTCCTTATCTTAATGCATTATCAAGACATTTAAATACAGTGAATTATTAACTTACGAGTATGTTTACAACCCTGCCTACCATTAGACTGCATATTTCAAGATATTAAGGATTTATTCTCAATTTTTACGTATGATAGGAATAATTGTTATGTTTTTAAAAAGTCTTATTTGGGGAGGTATATGTTGCAATATTTTTTTAAAAGATTTTATTTATTTTATTTTTAAAGATTTTTTATTTATTTATTTGACAGAGAGAAAGACAGCAAGAGAGGGAACACAAGCAGGGGGAGTAGGAAAGGGAGAAGCAGGCTTCCCATGGAGCAGGGAGCCCGATGCGGGGCTCGATCCCAGGACCCTGGGATCATGACCTGAGCCGAAGGCAGACACCCAATGACTGAGCCACCCAGCCGCCCCAAGATTTTATTTATTTTAGAAAGAGAGAGAACATGAGCAGAGGGAGAAGAGGGAGAGGGACAAGCGGACTCCACACTGAGCGAGGAGCCTGACGCAGTGCTCGATCCCACGACCCTGAGATTATAACCTGAGCAGAAATCAAGAGCTGGACGTTTAACTGACTGAGCCACCCAGGTGCCCCTATACTGAATATTTATCATGAAATAATACATCCGGAATCTGCTTCAAAATAATGAAAGAAGGGGAAAATAGGTGAGGAAGGTTTGAGGAAAGAAAACCGTCAGGAATTGGTAGCTGTTGAGGCTGGTGATGGGTACATACTGAGGGGGTTCACTGTACTATCCTTCTTTTGTCTGTGTTTGAAATTTTTATAAATCGAAAAGTTATAAAATAAAAATACTGCATCATGCCAAACTGCTTAGACATATCTTAAAAATCACAGACATGAAGTTTTAAAGCACAATATGAAATTTCCCTAATATATTTCCTATCCCCCCCAGAAGAAAAATCGCTCATGGAAACGAAAAGAATAAAGATTCATTGAATCTCAAAAGCCTAAGCCAGGATGGTGCCACTTCTTCTAAGCTTGTGAGAACATTCTGACCCAATTCTCGGTGTTCTCGTTGGTTTCTCACACTACTGTTCTCAAAATTGCTGAAGCTTCAGAAAGGTTACTGCGTTAGCAAGTGGTGATTCCAGTTAGAGGACGAATGACGTTGGCTGTAACCGGTTATAAATATTTTTATATCTGTTTAAAATCTTTCAGTCTGGAAATATTTTACTTATTGTCTGGGTGAACACCAGTTAAGCTGATAGGATGATGATTGCCAAACCAACTATCCTATACTCCAAATAAGCAAATGGGCTGATAGGTGTATGTATTTGCTCTCAGTATAACCAGGAGACATCTGAGAAGTTCTACCAGATAGAATCTAAAATTCACTGTGCTCAAGATTTTTTAAATTTCGTTTAAAAGCTATTTTCAACTGACCTGAGGTAGTCTTCGTATATAAAAGAATAATTTATCTATTTTTAATTCTGCTGTAGTTAACGTACAGTTATTAGTTTCATTTACAATACAGTGATTCAACAATTCCATACATTACTCGGTGCTCATCACGAGAAG